ATGCTCGGAAATATCATATGCTGGAAAAGCATCGCGGAAACATGTGGGCTCTTGCAGCATATACGCTGAAAGCGTTCAAGCATGCTTCTGCTTTCCACATCAGCAAGCTTTTGGAACTTTCCAGTTCCTGTCTTACAGCAAGCAACTACGTCAACCCCGAGCATGTCCCAGCTGCTTTAAGCCAACTCTGAGCCTGTTCCGGAATGTCGTTCACTTCGTTGCTGGTCGGTTTCATGAGGGATCGAGACAATCCGCAACTCCAAACCACTCTCCACTTATGGGTCTCCAGTTGCTACAAAAACAGCGCCTATATGCGTGCATGCAGCAAGCGAGAACCACTCCTACTCTTTTATTTTGGCTAAGTGAATATGGCTGGATCATTTCAGCATGTAACTTCGAAATTCCGTTCCAAACTTCCACCCATCCAGAAGGTACCAGCACCAGAAAGACATTTCCGATCGTAGGATAGAAGACAAAACTAAAGCGTCTGGTTTCTTCCATTTTGGATTCTAGATTCCGATTCACTGTGAAACCGCTTCCGGCTCGCAAGAAAGTGGGATTGCTTATAGCGTCATATTAGGCCTTTCTACGCTGCCACAAAGACCCAACAGTGTCACAAATGGCACTAAGCAGAGCTTTCATGTTTTTCCATCTGAGTTCATCTAAGTCTTCGTGGGTGGTGCGGGAAAGAGAGAAGAGGCTTAGCGCCACCCGAGTGCCGGAAGAAAGTGCCCAAGATAGCCGAATAAATCCGCCATAGGCGCCCAACTACATCTTCTTGTTCGAAAGAGGAATCGTTTTGATCCCTGTGAAGACTTTCTTTTTCTGGCAAATTTTGCAGCGTTTTGGTTTTGTGAAGGCGGCTCAAATGCAAGAGCACATTTAGAAAAAGGAGGCATGCAGTGACCAAAAAAAAATGTTGCGAGCAACTCCACTGCCTACCAACTTCAAATCATTCGAAATTGAGCCATAAACCATGTGACAGTCAAGTGACTGCGCAGTGACCACGAGTGACCACAGTGACCTAAATGCTCCAAGCAACTTCGACATTCAAGTCTGGGTGCCAACCAACTTCATTTTTGCTGTCCGTTTCGTTTGAAACTTGAACAAATTCATGAACTGTTTTTGGAGCATGACTGCGAAGTGACTGCGCAGCCGACAGATGCTTCGAGCAAATTAGAATCATTTCTGGATGCGACTGCACATCGCGTGCTCGGTTTCATTCCGGTGTCCAGTTTCGTTCCGATTGCTGTCTGGTCATTCCGAGAATCGCTCCTTTTTTGACTCTAATCTTTGAACATCTACCATGAAGCATTATTGATGCCATTTTGCGCAAAATTAAATCAAAAATTAAGACCGCTTAGCGGTATAATGAATCAAATTTGAAGCATGAATGAAATCAGAGCCTTCTATGCAACAATGTCTTACTTCAAATAGGCCGTTTTGGAGCGAAGTTCTCAGCCTCGAACGTGGAGCTCTTTTTGACCGCGTGTGTAGTGACCGCGTGACCACGTAGTAACCACGTAGTGACCGCGAAGTCTCTAGCTCGAAGAAGCCGTGTTTGGCTCAAGTTTCGACAGCCGATGCTCGGATCATTTCAGTCACCAGCAACTACGCGGTCACTACGCGGAATTTCTGGAAGTGCTCGGAGCAGTCGAAGTGCTTGGAGTGCTTGGCTCTGAGTAGCTCGGAGTTCTGGGCAGGTCGAAGTAGCTCGGAGGCCTGCGTTCTATTCGAGCTCTGAGAGCTCCACTGGCTCTGAGTAGCCGCTTGGAGAGCTCTGAAAGCTGTAGTAGCCGCTCGGAGTGGCTCGGAGTGGCTCGGAACAGCTCAGAGTGACTCTGAGTAGCTCGGAATAGCTCGGAGTTCTTGGGCACCCCCCACTCGGAGTCGCTCGGAGGCCTGCGAAGTAGCTCGGAGTTGCTCGGAAGCGCGCCGACTTCCGAATTGCAAGCTCTTCTGAGCCCCTGCAATAGTGCTGCTTGCGGTCCACTATTGAGAGGCTTCGAAGTACCAGCAAGTGCCGTGTGTGGGGAGCTGAGGGAGCTGGGACGACCCTCCCTAGAGAGAGCCAAAGACCCCACCAGGCTTGAAGAAAGGGGTCGACAAGGCAGATTGTTCCAAATCCCCTTGCTGTATGGGTGACCGCACATGCAGTGCGTCCCAGATTCTCGATGGTCCAGAATCTGGGAAGCTTCAGCTTCAGAGTGCTCAGGGCGAGCCTGTCGGCCTTTTCCAGTCGCCGAGGTCTACGCGTCAGCAGTGGCTAGATGGAAACGGCGGGCTCCAAGAGCAGACGGGGGGTCTTGCTGCGGGTCTGCTTGATGCAGAATTGCATAGTTTTCCCTTCGAGCTTCTTGTCGGAGACCTTTTCGAGCCCCTTCGACAGCAGTTCGCATCTCGTCAGTAAGCTCCAGGCACAAGCTGACGTGTTCGTTCCGGTGATGGCTCGGACTTCTTTTATTGAAGAAGACAACAAAAAAATGTCCGAGCAATTGCGCGACTGGCGTCAGCTGCTGCTCTGCAACCTGGAGATTGAAAGTGCACCTGAAGCAGGACACGCTTCTGGGACGCTGATGGGAACAGACTCCAGTCACCAGCCGAGCTTCGCGGACGGAAGGCCCTGGTGGCCGTCGAGGTGCGGCTGGATCATGGGTCAGCAATGCGGACTTCTGATGGAAGCCAAGACTTGAAGCTGCAGGATGCCTTGCCTCAAGAGTGCCCCCTCTCTAATGTCACTCCGATGAGCTGAAGCACAGTCGGAAAGGTTGCCTGCTTTGACGATCAACGTCGGAGGTCTGGGCGATGGAATCCACAGCAGCGCCGACTAGAGACGCTGCTTGAGGTTGCCTCGTTGCAGGTGGCCTGGCCTCGGACTCAATGCGGCGGTGTTAACGTGTGGAGAATTGTTCTGACATGCCAAGCTGCTTAGGGGCCATGAATGTCTACCT